TAATAGAGACAGGTGAGAAAAACACACATTTAGGAATAGTAAGGGGATGTAGGGTCAGAGAACAGACAATGACAGAAAGAGACATATTAATCATGAGAGCCATGGGACAAGTACACTGTATAGGTAAGTAATTTTGATTACTTAGCCTAAATTGGAATGTTGAAGTGCTGGAGGAGTTAAATGTTTCAATCATAACAGTACATTGCGTGCATTGATTAGAAAAGCCAGGGTGTGATTTTGCTATCTTTGAACAACTGTCCATTAATGTACAATCTATCAACAACAAGCGATGTGTGGATGTTTTTGCTTCTATATTCTTTCATAATGGGGTAGAGAGTTTTCCGTCGCTCATTAATTTCTTTTGGAAATTGTTCGTTCAGTCCAAAATGCGTTCCCTTAAGTTCCTTGCCTTTGCTTTTGATTAGCAGTTTGTGTTGGAAATGTTCGAACTTGGCAACAATTGGTCGGGGTTTGTTCCTAAAAGCATTCCCAAAGCCGTGGACACGGTGGAAGGTGATATTATGAAGTGTGTCCGGTGGTATTTTCAGCTGAGTTTTGATAAAGTCTATGACAACATTCTCCACGTTTTCCGCTGGCATTTCAGGCAGTCCAGTGATGATTAGGTTGTCCCGCATAGAACGCGTTTGTAGGTCCAGTACAGTCTCTTTTAACGCTTTGTTTTCGTACGTTATTGTGTCTATTTGCTTTGTAAGGGACTTTACAGTACCCGAGAGTTCGTTATTGGATTTGTGCAGGGATTCAATTTGAGCATGGGCAAATTCTAAGCTACGTTTAATTTCTTTAATTTCGTCGTGTAAAGCGGGAAGGATAGCTAATTTTTGGTTAATACTGTCCAGCAAACTAACCTCAATTTCCATTGTTTGTAGATCGTCAGTGTCCGTTGCAGAGTCTGTCTTTCTTTTTTTCGGTGGTTTGGGGGTTCCCTGGTTTGGATCCATTCCGTCGCTGTTTAGATTAAAGTAGTAGCGATCAATGTAGGCTTCGAGGTCCTCGGTAGTCTCCACTTTTATTACAATTAACTTTTATGTCCTAAATCAGGGGTGCCCAAACCTTTTGCTTCCAAGGGCCAAAGTAAAAATGTGCCAGTGGGCCGCGGGCCAAATACACCGATATTACGCATGAAACACAAATAAATGTAGATTTGATCAAGTTCTTTTAAATGCATTAATTATTGTCTATCAGTGCAAATCACAGTTGAATGAATGAAAACAACACAGTCTTAGTGAAGTGGAGGCTCCTGGGAAATATGCAGGTTTGAGGAGACTACAGTACGGAAAGATTCCGGCCGGTTAATCAGGGTCCAGAGGAGGGAGATTTTCTGTCATGGCTTATTTACAGGTTAAAATCATATAAAACAGAAAGCTAACACTAGGGGCGCACTTTTCTGCTGGCCATTCTTATGCTTTCCTACAAGCGGAGAGGCTCATGGGAGTCAAGTTGTTTGGTGGTTTTCTAGCTCGAGCAAATTCCCCACTTGAAAGGGATAAACCCTGCACATATGAATTCCAACTGGACTTCACTCAATAAGCAGCCGTGGGTCTTGGTTTTCATGCAATTTACTGCGTTTAGCTTGGTTTCAGGTTCAGGTGAAAAACCTCAAAAAGAACAGAAACATACATTTTCTATGTAAATAAACTGTTTTTTAAAGGATACTTGTGAACAAATAATGTGCCTGCTAGTAAATGAAAGTACTAATTTATATTAAATAATATCATACTCCCAAATTAAGTAATCTATATTTTTAACCTGCTCATGTGTTTGTTGAAGACCTTTTTCTCAACAGTTTTGCATTACTATAGTACAGTGATTTATAATGTATAGGTTTATTGTACTAATGACATTTACTTTACAAAAGTAAAGTCTATTTTCATATATTTATTTTGAACAAATATTTTTAACTACATTTGAATCATATTACTTTATCTTAGCTTTTATCAAAAAGGGGAGACATCACTGATCAATAGATCTGGTTTTAGCACACTTTTAAACAATACATTTTAACATTAAGTAATGAATTTGGGAACATAATTGCTAACTGCATTTTCTAAACATGATCAGGTTTTAACTCTGTTTTAACTTAATATTTTTAACATAGGACAAGTATTCTCAATTAGTAGTAAACTGAATATTAAACTAACAACACAGTACAACATTTATAAACAATCAAAACAAAGTAACTGTTAAAGAGTCCGTGTTTCCGCTCCTCCAAAGGGCTCTTGAACGCATCATAAAACTCAGCGTAAGTTATGACATTCAATGATCGTGAGTTATGACGGCGCTTACCGGCTTCTTTCATGGGGTTGTAGAAGGGTTTGTCTTGCACAGTATTTGTTGCTTCTACTTACGTGGATTGTGCGCTGCGATCCCTGCTTGTCCTGCTTGAACTCAGGAGTGTTTGTGTCCGTCCTTTTTAACACACCGGGTGGGTGCGGATTGCGAAGGTGAATAGTTCCACTCGCCATTTCCCTCCGGTGAGGAGGGGGAGTGGCAGTTCGCCAGCACAATCCTCTCAATTTGATAAAACATTAAATTGCTCAAAAAAACAATAATAGTAGGCTGAAAAAAAAAACCAAAGGTGCCTTGCACCCAATTGTTTTGAAAGATGTGTTTGATTTTAAAAAACATTTTAGTGAAAGTTGATGTGAACCATGAGTGAGGAGTGTATCTCCATACAACAGTTAAGTACTGGACAGTGGCAGGATGGGGGGCGTTGGTGCGCCTGCGCGATCTCAGACATGTATGAGTGTGGTCAGCGAGGTTAAGGGACGCAGATAGAAACTTTCAACGGAGGTGGGGCCAACTGAAATGGTCTGGCGGGCCAACTTTGGCCCGCGGGCCCCACTTTGGGCACCCCTGTCCTAAATAAAACGTAAATTCAACTTTTACCGTTACCTCATCATGGCCGCTCCTCTCTCCGCTTTGTGATCCATGAGCGACGCTTCACGTACGACGTCACGTCCTGAAGATAGTGGGCAGCGTCCGAATCACCAACAGAATGAGTTCACTCAGTCACTATATAGTCTCGAACTATACAGTGAGTGAGTGGATAGGGTACAGTGTGGACGGTCGGATACAGACCTAATCATCTGAACCAACAAATAAACTCTTAACACTTGCAGAAGATTCCTGAGGCTTTTACAGTTTTTCATGGTCGCTTTGGTGCATTTTTCACATCATTCTTCACATTTGCTTTAAACAGAACCCTGAGACTATCAAAGAGCAGGTACATTTATACGGAGACTTGATTACACACAGGTGCATTCTATTTATCATCATCAGTCATTTAGGACAACATTGGATCATTCAAAGATCCTCACTGAACTTCTGGACTGAGTTTGCTGCACTGAAAGTAAAGGGGCCGAATAGAAAAAAGTTTAAATTATCCAATAAATTTTCCACTTCACAATTGTGTCCCACTTGTTGTTGATTAGTGACAAAAAATTTAAATATTATATCTTTATGTTTGAAGTGTCCTGAAATGTGGCGAAATGTTGAAAGGTTCAAGGGGGCCGATTACCTTCGCAAAGCACTGTATGTTTCATTCTGACTGACAGGACAGAAGCAAATGATAATGTTAAATAACAGCAGAGAATTGTATGAAAGTAACTGATACATGAACAAAAGCATTTGAAATCTGTTTAGAGGAGAAACTGCTGCGATGATGTGCACCAATGACCCAATGTTGTGGAGGTTGAACTAATGGTTTTGAGAACTTTAAGTCTGATGTGAGAAATGCACCAAAGCCACTGAGAAAAACTGTAAAAACTCCCGCCTGGTTCATTACTCAAAACTGCATCATGGGTAAGACGAGCTGACTGTGTCCAGAAGGACATCATGGGTAAGAGCACCTGACTGTGTCCAGAAGGACATCATGGGTAAGACCACCTGACTGTGTCCAGAAGGACATCATGGGTAAGACCACCTGACTGTGTCCAGAAGGACATCATGGGTAAGACCACCTGACTGTGTCCAGAAGGACATCATGGGTAAGACCACCTGACTGTGTCCAGAAGGACATCATGGGTAAGACCACCTGACTGTGTTCAGAAGGACATCATGGGTAAGACCACCTGACTGTGTCCAGAAGGACATCATGGGTAAGACCACCTGACTGTGTCCAGAAGGACATCATGGGTAAGACCACCTGACTGTGTCCAGAAGGACATCATGGGTAAGACCACCTGACTGTGTTCAGAAGGACATCATGGGTAAGACCACCTGACTGTGTTCAGAAGGACATCATGGGTAAGACCACCTGACTGTGTTCAGAAGGACATCATGGGTAAGACCACCTGACTGTGTCCAGAAGGACATCACTGACACCCTCAAGCAAGAGGGTAAGACACCAAAAGACATTTGTGAGCCGCTGTTCCCAGAGTGCTGTATCAAGGCACCTCAGTGGGAAGTCTGTGGGAAGGAAAAGGCAGAAAACGCTGGTCAACCCCAAGAGGTGATCGGACCTTGAGGAGGGTGGTGGAGAAGGGCCAATTCCAGACCTTGGTGGACTTGGAAGCAGTGGACTGAGTCTGGAGCAGAAACATCCACAGCCATCGTGCACAGGCGTGTGCAGGAAATGGGCTTCAGAAACCACAACCAGAAACAGCACCAGAAGCTCTGACCTGGGCTCCAGAGAAGCAGCACTGGACTGTTGCTCAATGGTCCAAAGGACTTTTTCACATGAAATCAAGGTGCCAGAGTGTCGAGGAAGACTGGGGAGAAGGAAATGCCAAAATGCCTGAAGTCCAGTGTCAAGTCCCCACAGTCAGTGATGGTCTGGGGTGTCCTGTCAGCTGCTGGTGCTGGTCCACTATGTTTTATCAAGGGCAGGGTCAATGCAGCTGGCTATCAGGAGATTATGGAGCACTTCATGCTTCCATCTGCTGAAAAGCTTTATGGAGATGAAGAATTCCTTTTTCAGAACGACCTGCCACCTGCTCACAGGGCCAAAACCACTGCTAAATGGTTTACTGACCGTGGGATTACTGTACTCGGCCTGCCAACTCTCCTGACCTGAACCCCAGAGAATCTGTGAGATATTGTGAAGAGGCCACTATCGAAGCATCCTGGGGCTCCTCCTGCAGGAGGATCAGGACGACGTCCTGCAGGAGGATCAGGACCACCTCCTGCTGGAGGATCAGGACCACCTCCTGCAGGAGGATCAGGACCACCTCCTGCAGGAGGATCAGGACCACCTCCTGCAGAAGGATCAGGACCACCTCCTGCAGGAGGATCAGGACCCCCTCCTGCAGGAGGATCAGGACCACCTCCTGCAGGAGGATCAGGACCACCTCCTGCAGAAGGATCAGGACCACCTCCTGCTGGAGGATCAGGACCCCCTCCTGCAGGAGGATCAGGACCACCTCCTGCTGGAGGATCAGGACCCCCTCCTGCAGGAGGATCAGGACCACCTCCCCCCCTCGTTTAGCCAACCTCCCCCCTAACCCATCACCAAGAACCCCTCCACCTCCACTCCCCCCTCGTCCATCTCCCAACTCCTGCCCCTCCCCTAACACCCATCCACCTCCAACCCCCCCTCGTAAGAATCACCCACCTCTCCATCCTCCTCCCCTGCCTTCCCCTTCCCCTCTTTTCTCTAAACACTAGGATGCACAGGGTCTCTGCTTCGCAGCCACTGGCAGTCTAGTTAGAGGAGAGACCCAGCTGGGGCCCTGTCATGAAGCCACCTGTGCCATTCCTTCAGTGATAACACAAAGAATACATTACAGAAAAACATCTGAAGTTAATCAGTCTAATCTGGAAAATCTAATTCTTGTTCCGTGTAAGAATCAGCTGACCACAACCGCTGATACTGAAACTTTGAAACTTGCTAAGCTTAATGTCAGATCTCTTTGTAACAAGTCTTTTTTAATCAATAATTTTATTTGTTCTCATAATCTTGATCTTATGTTCATGGCTGAAACTTGGCTTGACCAAAATTCAGGAAATGCAGTTTTAATAGAAGCATCACCACCAAATTTCAAGTTTGAATCTGAAATACGGGAAAACAAAAAAGGAGGAGGCTTAGCTGCCATTTTTAGAGACCACTTTGTCTCCCATAGAATGTCTCTTGGGAAGTTTCGTAATTTGAATATGTGTCTTTTAAAATACAACAAAAACAATCTCCTCCAATACTCTTCATTGTCCTATACAAGCCACCGCAGTCATGTCACAGTTTTATTGATAATTTTACAGTTGCTTTCAGTTGTATGCACAGATTTTGATAGTTTGGTTATTACAGGTGATTTTAATATTCATGTGGATAATGTTGATGACAGAAATGGAAATGGGCTGAGTTCTTTACTTGAATCCTTTGATCTCACTCAGCACGTAAGTGGCCCCACCCACAGCAGAGGGCACACTCTAGATCTGTTAGTTACAAAGGGGGTGAATATTTCAAATGTAAATGTGGTCGATGTTGTTCTTTCGGATCATTTCTGTGTTTTTTTTTTACATGTGTTTCACTAACAAACCACCAGTGGACTCTGCAACTGTTCGAAGAAGACACATAAATGAAAATACGAGTGAACTATTTATGGGGATGATAAACTTTGAGAATGCATCGTATTCTACTGTAGATGAACTGTTTAACTCTGTCACCTCTAGTGCTTTGAATGTTCTGGATACCGTTGCCCCTGTGAAGGTTAAAATAGTGAAAAATAAGCAGAAGGCGCCGTGGGCTAAAGCAGACTCGGTCAGTGCACAAAAGAGAGAGTGCCGGAGGGCCGAGCGGAAGTGGCGCAAGTCCAACCTCCAGGTTGACTACGAGATCTTCAAAGATAAGTTGTGCGAGTTTAACCGGGTGCTACGTAGTACGAGAGAAAGGTATTTTTTGATTGAGAGAAATGATTGAAGGCTGCAACAACAATCTGCGTGTTCTGTTTTCAACTGTTAATAGATTAACAAACCCCCCTGTTCAGATGCCATTAGAGCTTACTTCCAAACGTAAATGCAATGAGTTTGCACATTTTTTTCAATGACAAGGTTCAAGGCATCAAAAACGCCATTGTCTCCAATCCACAGATAACCATCCAACAGCCAGAAAGGCTCTTTGAGCTAACTTACTTTGCACCTGTAGATGATAAAACTGTCCAAGAGACAATCTCCAGTCTGAGCTCCTCCACATGCAGCCTGGATGTACTACCCACTAGATTTCTAAAGTCTGTTCTGAGCAGTCTGTTACCTTCACTCACACAGATAGTAAACATGTCCCTTCATTCTGGAATATTCCCAAAGGGCCTGAAAACTGCAGTCATCAGGCCCCTGCTAAAAAAGAGCAGTCTGGATGCTACGGTACTTAACAACTATCGTCCCATCTCAAATCTGCCATTTATGGGGAAAGTCCTTGAGAAAGTTGTCTACCTACAGCTTACTAGATTTCTTATAATCAACAATTCATTTGATATGTTTCAGTCCGGCTTTAGACCCCACCACAGCACTGAGACTGCTCTCGTTAAGGTTACAAACGATATCCGGCTGAACACTGACGCAGGCAAAGTCTCAATCCTAATCTTGTTAGATCTAAGTGCTGCCTTTGACACCGTCGACCATGAGATCCTCTTACAGAGACTAGAGGACTGGGTTGGCGTCGCTGGCACCGCCCTAAGTTGGTTTAGGTCTTACCTTGAAGACAGGAAGTACTTTGTGGAGATTGGAAACTGTGTCTCAGATCAAATGGCCCTGACCTGTGGAGTCTCACAGGGGTCGATCCTGGGACCTCTTCTCTTCAATCTCTACATGCTGCCGCTAGGTCAGTTAATACGCAGAAACGAAGTGTCCTATCATAACTATGCAGACGACACTCAGATCTATGTCTCACTGACTGCAGGAGAACATGGACCAGTGGACTCACTCCTTCACTGTATCCAACAGATCAGTGAGTGGATGCAAAACAACTTCCTTCAGCTAAACGCAGACAAAACTGAAATGATTGTCTTTGGTCCCCAGAAACAAAGAGAGAGCGTCATCTGTCACCTACAGTCTCTCTCCCTAAAACCTTCAAACAAGGTCAGAAATCTAGGGGTAATACTGGACTCAGACTTAAATTTTAATAGCCACATCAAATCAGTAACATCAGCTGCTTTTTACCATCTAAAAAACATTGCCAGGATCAAAAACATAGTGTGTAAAGCAGACTTGGAGATTCTTATCCATGCATTTGTCTCCAGTAGGTTAGACTACTGCAATGGCCTGCTCACAGGTCTGTCCAAACAGGCTGTAAAACAGCTGCAGTACATTCAAAATGCAGCAGCTCGAGTCCTGACTAGAACCAGGAAGTACGACCACATTAGTCCTGACTAGAACCAGGAAGTACGACCACATTAGTCCTGACTAGAACCAGGAAGTACGACCACATTAGTCCTGACTAGAACCAGGAAGTACGACCACATTAGTCCTGACTAGAACCAGGAAGTACGACCATATTAGTCCTGACTAGAACCAGGAAGTACGACCACATTAGTCCTGACTAGAACCAGGAAGTACGACCACATTAGTCCTGACTAGAACCAGGAAGTACGACCACATTAGTCCTGACTAGAACCAGGAAGTACGACCACATTAATCCTGACTAGAACCAGGAAGTACGACCACATTAGTCCGGTCCTCAGGTCCCTGCACTGGCTTCCTGTGGCTCAGAGAATAGACTTTAAAACAGCTCTGCTTGTTACAAGTCTCTCCATGGCCTCGCACCAAAATATATTAGTGACATGTTAGTCCCATATGAACCAGCCCGGACTCTGAGGAGCACAGGGACTGGACTCCTGCTGGGACTCTGAGGAGCACAGGGACTGGCCTCCTGCTGGGACTCTGAGGAGCACAGGGACTGGCCTCCTGCTGGGACTCTGAGGAGCACAGGGACTGTGGACTCCTGCTGGGACTCTGAGGAGCACAGGGACTGGCCTCCTGCTGGGACTCTGAGGAGCACAGGGACTGGACTCCTTCTGGGACTCTAAGGAGCACAGGGACTGGACTCCTGTTAGTGCCCAGAGTCAGAACTAAACATGGGGAGGCTGCTTTTCAGATTCATGCTGCTAAAATCTGGAACAATCTTCCTGAAGATGTGAGACAGGCATCCTCTCTGACAATGTTTAAAACCAGGTTAAAGACGGTTCTGTTTAGCTGTGCATACAACTGAGGGATTTTATATTTTTATCTTTTTTTTAATGTTCTGTGATTATTTATGATTTTAATGCTTTCTTGTTTTGTTCAGCACTTTGAATTGCCTTGTGTATGAATTGTGCTATATAAATAAACTTGCCTTGCCAGGAGGATCAGGAGTGTTCTACAGAAGAACGTGTAGATCAGGGGTCTCCAACCTTTTTCAATCGGAGAGCTACTTTTATACAAACAAGCAGGCAGAGAGCTACTCCTTTTTGCAGTCGTAATAAAAATCGATCTAATAATTACTACCAAACTTGGAAAATACATGTAAAATTCACCATAATACTGTATAACCCTATATTTATACTTATAATGGATATGTAATGGGTCAATAAGTATTCGTTTTAAGTGTATTTGTTAAATTCTAATTTCTTTGGCGAGCTACCTGTAAGGGACTGGCGAGCTACTGGTGGCTCCCGAGACCCCTGGTGTAGATGATAGTTCTACAGAATATGCTGAAATGATTTCTTTCCAACACTTCTTTCAGAGCAGAGTTAGCTGCATGTTTCCATCCAATTGAACCCGTTCAAATGTCAGGGCTGTGCTCCCAAAGACAACATCATAAATGCAGGTTTGATGACTGACTGACTGAGTGGTATTTGCCTGTGTTCGGAGCCTGTTCGAGCAGCCGCGGCGCAGGGCAAACACAAACAGGCGCTCGGAGCCAAATGCCACCGCACAAATAAGAGCAGTCAACAGCAGGAAGTCACAGAGAGCCCTTCCCCCGCGATAAAGACACCAAGAGAGGGAACACACGGCCCCTGCACACGCCACACACGCTAAAGAGATGGAGAAAGCTAACACAGACTGTAGACAGATGCTAATGCTAACACAGACTGTATACAGATGCTAATGCTAACACAGACTGTAGACAGATGCTAATGCTAACACAGACTGTATACAGATGCTAATGCTAACACAGACTGTATACAGATGCTAATGCTAACACAGACTGTATACAGATGCTAATGCTAACACAGACTGTATACAGATGCTAATGCTAACACAGACTGTATACAGATGCTAATGCTAACACAGACTGTATACAGATGCTAATGCTAACACAGACTGTATACAGATGCTAATGCTAACACAGACTGTATACAGATGCTAATGCTAACACAGACTGTATACAGATGCTAATGCTAACACAGACTGTATACAGATGCTAATGCTAACACAGACTGTATACAGATGCTGATGCTAACACAGACTGTATACAGATGCTAATGCTAACACAGACTGTATACAGATGCTACATGCTAACACAGACTGTATACTGATGCTAATGCTAACACAGACTGTATACAGACGCTAATGCTAACACAGACTGTATACAGATGCTAATGCTAACACAGACTGTATACAGATGCTAATGCTAACACAGACTGTATACAGACGCTAATGCTAACACAGACTGTATACAGATGCTAATGCTAACACAGACTGTATACAGATGCTAATGCTAACACAGACTGTATACAGATGCTGATGCTAACACAGACTGTATACAGATGCTAATGCTAACACAGACTGTATACAGATGCTAATGCTAACACAGACTGTATACAGATGCTAATGCTAACACAGACTGTATACAGATGCTAATGCTAACACAGACTGTATACAGATGCTAATGCTAACACAGACTGTATACAGACGCTAATGCTAACACAGACTGTATACAGACGCTAATGCTAACACAGACTGTATACAGACGCTAATGCTAACACAGACTGTATACAGATGCTAATGCTAACACAGACTGTATACAGATGCTAATGCTAACACAGACTGTATACAGATGCTAATGCTAACACAGACTGTATACAGATGCTAATGCTAACACAGACTGTATACAGATGCTAATGCTAACACAGACTGTATACAGATGCTAATGCTAACACAGACTGTATACAGATGCTAATGCTAACACAGACTGTATACAGATGCTAATGCTAACACAGACTGTATACAGATGCTAATGCTAACACAGACTGTATACAGACGCTAATGCTAACACAGACTGTATACAGATGCTAATGCTAACACAGACTGTATACAGATGCTAATGCTAACACAGACTGTATACAGATGCTAATGCTAACACAGACTGTATACAGATGCTAATGCTAACACAGACTGTATACAGATGCTAATGCTAACACAGACTGTATACAGATGCTACATGCTAACACAGATGGAGATTTCTGGCCTCGGTCACATTTTGAAATTACTTTTTTCCGACAGAAAAGTGAAACTGCGAGGACCTCCCTCTCTCAGCCAATCAGCTGTCTGCCCAAAGAGTCAAACAGTGGCTCACAGGGCTCACTCTTACATATATTATAACACGTTTTCTGATACGACGAAGCTAGCATGCTGTGGTTTGATGTAGTTGTATTGTCTGTGTGTGTTATTCACGGACAGCTTGAATAGTCAGAAGAGAACATGTCGGGGCCACAGGAACCACCGCATCACACTCGCCGATTTATTTGTGCTGCGCTTTTGTCCCTGGAACTTATGAGCCCTGCACCCACACGTTTATTGGTTTGACCGACAAAGCTGTAATGAGGTCTGCAAGATCCTCTGTGTGTGTGTGTGTGTGTGTGTGTCTGTGTGTGTGTGTGTGTGTGTGTGTGTGTGTGTGTGTGTGTGTGTGTGTGTGTGTGTGTGTGTGTGTGTGTGTGTGTGTGTGTGTGTGTGTGTGTGTGTGTGTGTGTGTGTGTGTGTGTGTGTGTGTGTGTGTGTCTGTGTGTGTGTGTGTGTGTGTCTGTGTGTGTGTGTGTGTGTGTGTCTGTGTGTGTGTGTGTGTGTGTGTGTGTGTGTGTGTGTGTGTGTGTGTGTGTGTGTGTCTGTGTGTGTGTCTGTGTGTGTGTGTATAGTGCCCCAAACACCCACGGATAAATATAAATAAAGCTAATAAGACGGTGCTTCCGAGTGGACAGGACGTGTGTGTGTGTAGGGGTGTGTGTCTGTGTGTGTGTGTAGGGGTGTGTGTCTGTGTGTGTGTGTGTGTGTGTGTGTGTGTGTGTGTGTGTGTGTGTGTGTGTGTGTGTGTGTGTGTGTGATGTCTTTTCAACAAATATAAAAGGGATTTAACCTGCTAGCTCAATGAAGCCCAATAGGGAAGAGCTCATGGTGAAGTTTGGCTCCTCTCTGGTCTCGCTCTGGTCTCTCCCTGGTCTCTCTCTGGTCTCTCTCTCTGGTCTCTCTCTGGTCTCTCTCTGGTCTTTCTCTCTGGTCTCTCTCTGGTCTCTCTCTGGTCTCTCTCTGGTCTCTCTCTCTGGTCTCTCTCTGGTCTCTCTCTGGTCTCTCTCTGGTCTCTCTCTGGTCTCTCTCTGGTCTCTCTCTGGTCTCTCTCTGGTCTCTCCCTGGTCTCTCTCTGGTTTCTCTCTGGTCTCTCTCTGGTCTCTCTCTGGTTTCTCTCTGGTCTCTCTCTGGTCTCTCTCACTGGTCTCTCTCTGGTCTCTCTCTCTGGTCTCTCTCTGGTCTCTCTCTGGTCTCTCTCTGGTTTCTTTCTGGTCTCTCTCTGGTCTCTCTCACTGGTCTCTCTCTGGTCTCTCTCTGGTCTCTCTCTGGTTTCTTTCTGGTCTCTCTCTGGTCTCTCTCTGGTCTCTCTCTGGTCTCTCTCTGGTCTCTCTCTGGTCTCTCTCTGGTCTCTCTCTGGTCTCTCTTTTTGGTCTCTCTCTGGTCTCTCTCTGGTCTCTCTCTCTGGTCTCTCTCTGGTCTCTCTCTCTGGTCTCTCTCTGGTCTCTCTCTCTGGTCTCTCTCTCTGGTCTCTCTCTCTGGTCTCTCTCTGGTCTCTCTCTCTGGTCTCTCTCTGGTCTCTCTCTAGTCTCTCTCTGGTCTCTCTCTCTGGTCTCTCTCTCTGGTCTCTCTCTGGTCTCTCTCTCTGGTCTCTCTCTGGTCTCTCTCTGGTCTCTCTCTGGTCTCTCTCTCTGGTCTCTCTCTCTGGTCTCTCTCTGGTCTCTCTCTGGTCTCTCTCTCTGGTCTCTCTCTCTGGTCTCTCTCTCTGGTCTCTCTCTCTGGTCTCTCTCTCTGGTCTCTCTCTCTGGTCTCTCTCTGGTCTCTCTCTAGTCTCTCTCTGGTCTCTCTCTCTGGTCTCTCTCTAGTCTCTCTCTGGTCTCTCTCTCTGGTCTCTCTCTCTGGTCTCTCTCTGGTCTCTCTCTAGTCTCTCTCTGGTCTCTCTCTCTGGTCTCTCTCTAGTCTCTCTCTGGTCTCTCTCTCTGGTCTCTCTCTCTGTCTCTCTCTGGTCTCTCTCTCTGGTCTCTCTCTGGTCTCTCTCTGGTCTCTCTCTGGTCTCTCTTTTTGGTCTCTCTCTGGTCTCTCTCTGGTCTCTCTCTGGTCTCTCTCTGGTCTCTCTCTCTTCTGGTCTCTCTCTGGTCTCTCTCTGGTCTCTCTCTCTCTGGTCTCTCTCTCTGGTCTCTCTCTGGTCTCTCTCTCTGGTCTCTCTCTGGTCTCTCTCTGGTCTCTCTCTGGTCTCTCTCTCAGGACTGTTTTTTTTAATAATGTTTGTAATAAACTTTATTTATCTAAAGACAGACAAACCTGAACAGATCTTCTTCCTGTTTGCTTTGGTTCGATCTGGCTCCAGATGTGGGACTCGCATCGATGAGGGTTTCTCCGCTGGACGCCACATTAATAATTAGCAAAGTTTTGTGCGAGAGGAGGGGGAGGGGCGAGGGGAGAGCGGATTAACCATGTGTCAGGGGAATCTAATGCAATTACTAGTGTTTGCTTTCACCATGTGTCTCCTTCCGTCTGCGCAGAGACCCCACATGAGAGACCAGAGAGAGACCAGAGAGAGACCAGAGAGAGACCAGAGAGAGACCAGAGAGAGACCAGAGAGAGAGACTAGAGAGACCAGAGAGAGAGACCAGAGAGAGAGACCAGAGAGAGACCAGAGAGAGAGACCAGAGAGAGACCAGAGAGAGACCAGAGAGAGACCAGAGAGACCAGAGAGAGAGACCAGAGAGAGACCAGAGAGAGAGACCAGAGAGAGACCAGAGAGAGAGACCAGTGAGAGAGACCAGAGAGAGACCAGAGAGAGACCAGAGAGACCAGAGAGAGAGACCAGAGAGACCAGAGAGAGAGACCAGAGAGAGACCAGAGAGAGAGACCAGTGAGAGAGACCAGAGAGAGACCAGAGAGAGACCAGAGAGAGACCAGAGAGAGACCAGAGAGAGAGACCAGTGAGAGACCAGAGAGAGACTAGAGAGAGACCAGAGAGAGAGACCAGTGAGAGACCAGAGAGAGAGACCAGAGAGAGACCAGTGAGAGAACAGAGAGAGAGACCAGAGAGAGAGACCAGAGAGAGAGACCAGAGAGAGACCAGAGAGAGAGACCAGAGAGAGACCAGAGAGAGACCAGAGAGAGAGACCAGAGAGAGAGACCAGTGAGAGAACAGAGAGAGAGACCAGAGAGAGACCAGAGAGAGACCAGAGAGAGAGACCAGAGAGAGAGACCTTAGAGAGACCAGAGAGAGACCAGAGAGAGACCAGAGAGAGACTAGAAAGAGACCAGAGAGAGACTAGAGAGAGAGACCAGAGAGAGACCAGAGAGAGACCAGAGAGAGACTAGAAAGAGACCAGAGAGAGACTAGAGAGAGAGACCAGAGAGAGACCAGAGAGAGACCAGAGAGAGACCAGAGAGAGACTAGAAAGAGACCAGAGAGAGACTAGAGAGAGAGACCAGAGAGAGACCAGAGAGAGACTAGAAAGAGACCAGAGAGAGACTAGAGAGAGAGAGAGAGACCAGAGAGAGACCAGAGAGAGACCAGAGAGAGAGACCAGAGAGAGACCAGAGAGAGACCAGAGAGAGACCAGAGAGAGACTAGAAAGAGACCAGAGGGAGACTAGAAAGAGACCAGAGAGAGACCAGAGAGAGACTAGAAAGAGACCAGAGAGAGACTAGAAAGAGACCAGAGAGAGACTAGAAAGAGACCAGAGAGAGACTAGAGAGAGACCAGAGAGAGACTAGAAAGAGACCAGAGAGAGACTAGAAAGAGACCAGAGAGAGACTAGAAAGAGACCAGAGAGAGACTAGAAAGAGACTAGAGAGAACGGAGTCCCAGTAGTAGCGGGTTTTTTAATCATAGTTTTAATTAATTTAAACTTACCCAGCAGCCCTCTCTCTGGTGACATGTATATATGTGTGTGTGTGTGTATGTGTGTGTATATATATGTGTGTGTGTGTATGTGTGTATATATGTGTGTGTGTGTGTGTGTGTATATGTGTGTGTGTGCCTCTGCTCTCTCCCTGGTCTCCCTCTGCTCTCTCCCTGGTCTCTCCCTCTGGTCTCTCCCTCTGCTCTCTCTCTGCTCTCTCCCTGGTCTCTCCCTCTGCTCTCTCCCGGGTCTCCCTCTGCTCTCTCCCTGGTCTCTCCCTCTGCACTCTCTCTGGTCTCTCCCTCTGCTCTCTCCCTGGTCTCTTCCTCTGCTCTCTCTCTGGTCTCTCCCTCTGCTCTCTCTCTGGTCTCTCCCTCTGCTCTCTCCCTCTGCTCTCTCCCTGGTCTCCCTCTGCTCTCTCCCTGGTCTCTCCCTCTGCTCTCTCCCTGGTCTCTCCCTCTGGTCTCTCCCTGGTCTCTCCCTCTGCTCTCTCTCTGGTCTCTCCCTCTGCTCTCTCCCTGGTCTCTCCCTCTGCTCTCCCTCTGCTCTCTCCCTGGTCTCTCTCTCTGCTCTCTCCCTGGTCTCTCTCCTCGCTGTTTGCCTTAGTAAATCCGCCACATATTCCAGTTGTATTATCCCGTTCGGGACGTGGGGAAACAGCTTCTAATAAAGCTTTGCACACAGGATCTGGCGCCCGCACTCTCTTAAAGAACTCTTTCTGTTCCTCGGCGCACACGCTTCTTAAAATATCCGTCTAATCCCGGAGCTTCAGTCCCTCGCTCTGCAGTGTTCTGCTAAAGCCGCAGATAAGGCCTTAGCATTACCGCGCGCTACAGTAATAAATACTTAAGTTTGCGCTGGAAATCGCTAAACTGTTTGGTTTCTATCGCCAGCAAGATACCACTATGAAAATATTTGGCTGCTGCGGCGTCGCTTGTTACAGAGTAGCGGCAAATAGCGAGAGAGACAGGACAGCGAGAGAGACACGGCGGCGAGCGGATAACCGTTGATCCGTGACTAAGCCGCACTTAAACGGGCCCAGCTCGCCGACGCTAATGCTGCGCGAGAAACAAGACATGCTAACAACCTAATACCAGCAGCATGGAGGATCCTCTCACTGTGGAGCAAGGCCAAAGAGATGTACCAGCAAGACCAGACCAGAGAGAGAGAGAGAGAGAGCTGAGGCTGTGTACCAGCAAGACCAGACCAGAGAGAGAGAGAGAGAGAGCTGAGGCTGTGTACCAGCAAGACCAGACCAGAGAGAGAGAGAGAGAGAGCTGAGGCTGTGTACCAGCAAGACCAGACCAGAGAGAGAGAGAGAGAGAGCTGAGGCTGTGTACCATTAAGACCAGACCAGAGAGAGAGAGAGAGAGAGCTGAGGCTGTGTACCAGCAAGACCAGACCAGAGAGAGAGAGCTGAGGCTATGTACCAGCAAGACCAGACCAGAGAGAGAGAGAGCTGAGGCTGTGTACCATTAAGACCAGACCAGAGAGAGAGAGAGAGAGAGCTGAGGCTGTGTACCATTAAGACCAGACCAGAGAGAGAGAGCTGAGGCTATGTACCAGCAAGACCAGACCAGAGAGAGAGAGAGCTGAGGCTGTGTACCAGCAAGACCAGACCAGAGAGAGAGAGAGCTGAGGCTGTGTACCAGCAAGACCAGACCAGAGAGAGAGAGAGAGAGAGCTGAGGCTGTGTACCATTAAGACCAGACCAGAGAGAGAGAGAGAGAGAGCTGAGGCTGTGTACCATTAAGACCAGACCAGAGAGAGAGAGAGAGAGAGAGCTGAGGCTGTGTACCAGCAAGACCAGACCAGAGAGAGAGAGAGAGAGAGAGAGAGAGCTGAGGCTGTGTACCAGCAAGACCAGACCAGAGACAGAGAGCTGAGGCTTTGTACCAGCAAGACCAGACCAGAAAGAGAGAGCTAAGGCTGTGTACCAGTAAGACCAAACCAAAGAGAGACCAGAGAGAGAGCTGAGGCTGTGTACCAGCAAGACCAGACCAGAGAGAGAGAGCTGAGGCTATGTACCAGCAAGACCAGACCAGAGAGAGAGGTGAGGCTATGTACCAGCAAGACCAGACCAGAGAGAGAGCTGAGGCTATGTACCAGCAAGACCCGACCAGAGAGAGAGAGAGCTGAGGCTGTGTACCAGCAAGACCAGACCAGAGAGAGACCAGAGAGAGAGAGAGCTGAGGCTATGTACCAGCAAGACCAGAGAGAGAGAGAGAGAGCTGAGGCTGTGTACCAGCAAGACCAGACCAGAGAGAGAGAGCTGAGGCTATGTACCAGCAAGACCAGACCAGAGAGAGAGAGCTGAGGCTTTGTACCAGCAAGACCAGACCAGAAAGAGAGAGCTAAGGCTGTGTACCAGCAAGACCAAACCAAAGAGAGACCAGAGAGAGAGCTGAGGCTGTGTACCAGCAAGACCAGACCAGAGAGAGCTGATGCTGTGGACCAGCAAGACCAAACCAGAGAGAGAGAGAAAGAGAGAGAGAGCTGAGGCTGTGTACCAGCAAGACCAGACCAGAGAGAGAGCTGAGGCTGTGGACCAGCAAGACCAGACCAGAGAGAGAGCTGAGGCTGTGGACCAGCAAGACCAGAGAGACCAGAGAGAGAGAGAGAGAGCTGAGGCTATGAACCAGCAAGACCCAGACCAGAGAGAGAGAGAGGCCAAAGGAAGAGAGCAAACTGAAGCTCTGTACGATGGTCCTGCAGTGAGGTCTGATGGTGTTGAACGCACTGCGCCCCCCGCAGGCTCCAGGTGGGAGAGCGCCCTCTGTTGGGCCTGTAGGAGAACTGCAGCGGGTCCAGGGTGGGGCTATATTGCACATGGTTCTATATTGTAATGGTTCTTTTGTTTCACATGGTTTTATATTGCACATGGTTCTATATTGTAATGTGTCTATGTGCAATTCTTCTTCTTCTTCATCTTCTACTTCTTCTTGACACATGGTAAACATAACCTTTCCCCAAACTCCACCTCATGCAGCCCAGAGGTTTACCCTGGTCTTACCATGTGTAAACTCTGGTCCATGGTCATTTCCTACATGTACGTCTGGTCTTACCATGTGTAAACTCTGGTCCATGGTCATTTCCTACATGTACGTCTGGTCTTACCATGTGTAAACTCTGGTCCATGGTCATTTCCTACATGTACGTCTGGTCTTACCATGTGTAAACTCTGGTCCATGGTCATTTCCTACATGTACGTCTGGTCTTACCATGTGTAAACTCTGGTCCATGGTCATTTCCTACATGTACGTCTGGTCTTACCATGTGTAAACTCTGGTCCATGATCATTTCCTACATGTACGTCTGGTCTTACCATGTGTAAACTCTGGTCCATGGTCATTTCCTACATGTACGTCTGGTCTTACCATGTGTAAACTCTGGTCCATGGTCATTTCCTACATGTACGTCTGGTCTTACCATGTGTAAACTCTGGTCCATGGTCATTTCCTACATGTACGTCTGGTCTTACCATGTGTAAACTCTGGTCCATGGTCATTTCCTACATGTACGTCTGGTCTTACCATGTGTGAACTCTGGTCCATGATCATTTCCTACATGTACGTCTAGTCTTACCATGTGTAAACTCTGGTCCATGATCATTTCCTACATGTACGTCTGGTCTTACCATGTGTAAACTCTGGTCCATGGTCATTTCCTACATGTACGTCTGGGTCTGATCCTAGTGGCTGCAGTTTCCTCGGTTGAATCCCCTTCGACCAATCAGAGAGCGGGGGAGGCGGGTGTTGTAGGTCGGTGTCGGTGACGTCAAGAGTTTGTGCTGAATTTGCTGGTTGTAGTTTGTCGGAGAATGCGATAGTAAAATAATCTGTTCTGGTTCAATCCAAATATCAAGAAACTGAAGCCGGAGCAAGAGGAATGTTCAGTAAATGTCATTGAAGAAAAGATGTTGTGGCTCTACTCCCCACGGGCTCCGTTAGCGGGAAAGGAGATGGCTAAAGCTAGGCTACATGCTAAAGCTAGGCTAAATGCTAAATGCTAACGACTCACTCGGGCTCATTACAAACGTCGCGGTAAACTCAGATCCAATGGTTTCAATCTGCAAAAGGAGTTAGCCCCTCCCACCTGTTAACGGAGCTTAGTACCAAATGAAATGAGTACCATGGTGTGGTAAGACCAGGTTAACCCAGAGGCCCACTGCAACATTTAGAAAATGTGAGGAAATAAATACTTGAATCAGTGTTTTTATCTTAATCTGATCAAACCAGATTCTCCAACGGGTTAAAGACATTTAGTCTGATTAAAGAAGTGTTTCCTCCAGAGACACTTTATGTTTCAAACAAGACCATTTTGTTTTGTCCCGTTGATAAATCTGGTTTAAAGAACGGTCAGAATGTGTCAGATTAAGACACATTTAGCAGAATACTGACTTGTTGCAGTGGAGAAAGAGAGAAACCTCAGGGAGAGCCGTGTTGAGAGAGAGATCTTCTTTATTCCTGTGATATTTGACAAAGCTGATCCTTGCTGGTCCCACACTGGTGCTTCACATAGTTATTAGAATAGAGTAAACCTGGTGCGGCCTCTGGAGGTGAAGCGCCTGTATCTCATTACTCAATCCTCCCTAATGCGCCGTCTTACCAGGGTCACTCCAGGGGAATCTAACCGCAGACCAGTCCATTGTTCGGCCAGGGATGAGCTGGCATTAGGAGGCTGAGGAGCGAGCAGGAGCCAGAGAGGACGCTGGGATTACAGCTGTGTGCGCTGAAGAGCCGCTGGTTTATCCTCAGCTTACAGAGGCTGAAGGCTGCAGCAGAGATACACAAATACTACAGACACACAAATACTACAGACACACACTTACCACAGACACACACTTACCACAGCAGTATTTAGCTGCAAATCACATTATAATGCCAACAAGGAAGTGCTTATGGTCTCTCTCTGGTCTCTCTCTCTGGTCTCTCTCTCTCTGGTCTCTCTCTCTTTCTGGTTGCTCATTCTAATGTGGGGGAAGTGTCTTGCCTAAGGACACAACCACAGTTTGGCACTTTACAGCCGCCCCACTGTGTCACCTGGTGTTCCCAAAGGTCTCCCATCACAGCTCTAACCAGGCCCTGCCCTGCTTAGCATCTGAGGTCTGACAGGATCTGCCCCCGAGGACCCCCCTCCCCTCCTGTGTGAGATGGTGCTAGCTTACAGCGGCGTTAGCCACATTCAGCCGCAGGATGATTGTGAATCCACAGTAATCATCTCCAACAGTTAGCAACACGCAGCTGCCAGGCCCTTTGGCTGCGCCGCTGCAGGAGGACCTGGCACCCGCCGCTGCAGGAGGACCTGGCACCCGCCGCTGCAGGAGGACCTGGCACCCGCCGCTGCAGGAGGACCTGGCACCCGCCGCTGCAGGAGGACCTGGCACCCGCCGCTGCAGGAGGACCTGGCACCCGCCGCTACAGGAGGACCTGGCACCCGCCGCTGCAGGAGGACCTGGCACCCGCCGCTGCAGGAGGACCTGGCACCCGCGGGACACATCCTGCTAAGCTCTAACTATTACACTTTTTAATATCGGTTTTAAAGAGATTTCCACAAACATATTACTGCTGCTGTATCCATAATAAATCACTTCCAAAACAGGAAGTGATGAGGAAAATCACTTCCTGTTTTGCTAATGCTTCGTCTTTCTCTGTTCTAACCAGTGTGGGCGGGTCCCGGCCCAAAGGGCCCATGAGGACGTGTGTGGACATGTCTGGAACCAAACACACTGGTATCAGGAAGTTCTCTCACAAACATCTCAAGGAAAACCGACTGCACAGAATGTTTGAGTTGAAGTTTTTAAATTGAAGTTACTGGAACTTTCAAGTCTGTAAATCTTAATATTTTAAGTTCAGATTACAGACCGCTTTAAATCATCCTGTTTCATCAAAGGGCTCGGCAATTAATCAACTTTTGAAAAAATCGAATTCGTGAAAAATGTGAAAATTGTGAAATTGAATGAAGGATATCGTGAGTTATACTTGCAATATCTGCACAGTCTGTACAAGACTTTTATAACACGTATTGGGGGAAACAAATAAAACATAGTTTTGAAACTTTGAAAGTTTCTGTTCCGTTCTGCATTCAGACTCAGTGACCTTTGGGAGGAGTGGATAGCACTCTCGCCTCTCAGCAAGAAGGTCCTGGGTTCGAATCCCGGTCAGACCAGGGCCTTTCTGAGTGGAGTTTGCATGTTCTCCCCGTGTCTGCGTAGGTTTCCTCCGGGTACTCCGGTTTCCCCTACCACTACAAATATGTACAATAGTTCTGGCATGTGCCTCCTGTACTGGCACCGCTCCCAAAAATAACAATTGTAAACCGCTTTGAGACTCCGATGTGCAGTGAAAAGGCTGTATATAAATAAAGATTACTACTTTGATTAACATTAGAACCTCCTACACGGTTGACCCAGGGACTCTACAGGGCTACTTTGGCCTGGCCCTGTCCAGTACGGTTGGCAAAAATAAATACAATCATTTATTTGGTCAAATTAGTTTATTCAAAATGTTGAATGCAGCCGGTTGCCATGACAACTTTGAAATGACCTCACTCTGACTCACTGCAAAAACGACAACTCAACATTGTTCACCTTACTGAGATTTTAACATTCACTGACAATAACTGTCTGTTGTGAGCCTCTCTCCAGGCCTTCTCTGGTCTCTCTCTGGTCTCTCTCTGGTCTCTCTCTGGTCTCTCTCTCTGGTCTCTCTCTGGTCTCTCTCTGGTCTCTCTCTGGTCTCTCTCTCTGGTCTCTCTCTGGTCTCTCTCTGGTCTCTCTCTGGTCTCTCTCTGGTCTCTCTCTGGTCTCTCTCTGGTCTCTCTCTCTGGTCTCTCTCTGGTCTCTCTCTGGTCTATCTCTCTGGTCTCTCTCTCTGGTCTTTCTCTGGTCTCTCTCTCTGGTCTCTCTCTCTGGTCTTTCTCTGGTCTCTCTCTCTGGTCTCTCTCTGGTCTCTCTCTGGTCTCTCTCTGGTCTCTCTCTCTGGTCTCTCTCTGGTCTCTCTCTCTGGTCTTTCTCTGGTCTCTCTCTCTGGTCTCTCTCTGGTCTCTCTCTGGTCTCTCTCTCTGGTCTCTCTCTCTGGTCTCTCTCTGGTCTCTCTATGGTCTCTCTCTGGTCTCTCTCTGGTCTCTCTCTCTGGTCTCTCTCTGGTCTCTCTATGGTCTCTCTCTGGTCTCTCTCTCTGGTCTCTCTCTGGTCTCTCTCTCTGGTCTCTCTCTGGTCTCTCTCTGGTCTCTCTGGTCTCTCTCTGGTCTCTCTCTGGTCTCTCTGGTCTCTCTCTGGTCTCTCTCTGGTCTCTCTCTGGTCTCTCTCTGGTCTCTCTCTGGTCTCTCTCTGGTCTCTCTCTGGTCTCTCTGGTCTCTCTCTGGTCTCTCTCTGGTCTCTCTCTGGTCTCTCTCTGGTCTCTCTCTGGTCTCTCTCTGGTCTCTCTCTGGTCTCTCTGGTCTCTCTCTGGTCTCTCTCTGGTCTCTCTCTGGTCTCTCTCTGGTCTCTCTCTCTGGTCTCTCTCTCTGGTCTCTCTCTGGTCTCTCTCTGGTCTCTCTCTGGTCTCTCTCTGGTCTCTCTCTCTGGTGTCTCTCTGGTCTCTCTCTGGTCTCTCTCTGGTCTCTCTCTGGTCTCTCTCTGGTCTCTCTCTGGTCTCTCTCTGTGGTCTTTCTCTGGTCTCTCTCTCTGGTCTCTCTCTGGTCTCTCTCTCTGGTCTCTCTCTCTGGTCTCTCTCTGGTCTCTCTCTGGTCTCTCTCTGGTCTCTCTCTCTGGTCTCTCTCTGGTCTCTCTCTCTGGTCTCTCTCTGGTCTCTCTCTGGTCTCTCTCTGGTCTCTCTCTGGTCTCTCTCTGGTCTCTCTCTCTGGTCTCTCTCTGGTCTTTCTCTGGTCTCTCTCTCTGGTCTCTCTCTGGTCTCTCTCTGGTCTCTCTCTCTGGTCTCTCTCTGGTCTCTCTCTGGTCTCTCGCTGGTCTCTCTCTGGTCTCTCTCTGGTCTCTCTCTGGTCTCTCTCTGTG